ATAACTCCTTGGCTTTTTAGCTAAGATTTTCACAGCTTGTTTATAAATAGTATATAATGGTTTTAACGTAGTTACACTTGTATGAGTCCAACTTGTAGCACAGTAAATTAAATGAGGGAGGATCACTGTATGCATAAAGAGTTTAGCAGCAGTCACAGGTAATTGGTGCCTAATATTCCTGAAGATCATCAAGCTTGCTCTAGTAGTACTTTTAGAGGTCTTTTTAATATGTTTTTTAAAATTAATTTAGAATCCATAATCATAACCAAATATTTAAAATGCTCAACAATATTTATTACCTCTCATTTAACTAAATTATATGGACAACGCTCATCAACTTTCTTGATCGAAAAAGACATTCCCACAGTTTTACTCACATTAAGAGTAAGGCAAGAATGACATATGTGAGACTTTGTTCAATGCAGCAGTAAGTTTGATAGCAGCTTGTTCTTTTGTCTTAGCATAAGTATAAACAACTGTATCATCTGCATACATCTGAATCTGGACCACTGGACAAACTGTAGGCAGATCATTAATGTATAAGCTGAACAAAATTGGTCCAAGAATCGACCCCTGTGGGACTCCAATATTACAGTCAAGAAATGGTGAGCATGCATCATTAATTCGTGTACATTATTTTCTTAAATTTAAGTATGACTCCATTAGGTCTGCACAATTAATCGGACTTAATACTATAGAAAAGCAATAAAAGTTTTTCAGTTAGTGTTTTCAGCTTGGTTATTTTAATATAAAAATATGGCATGCAGTTGCTTCAAACAAAGGTGTAAACATCATTCATTTAATCATAAATTCATAATCGCAATTACAATTTCAAAGGAATAATCGACAATTATGATTTTTTGTGTTTTAGCATAAGTATAAACAACTGTATCGTCTGCATACATCTGAACCTGGACCTCTGGACAAACTGTAGGCAGATCATTAATATATAAGCTGAACAAAATTGGTCCAAGAATCGACCCCTGTGGGACTCCAATATTACAGTCAAGAAATGGTGAGCATGCATCATTAATTCGTGTACATTGTTTTCTTAAATTTAAGTATGACTCCATCCATGTTAATGTATTAGTAGAAAAATTAAACCTTGATAATTTAGATAAAAGAACATTATGATTAACGGTATCAAAAGCCTTTTTATAATCAAGGAAGATAGCACCAACAACACCTCCCCTATCAAGACTGGATTTAATTTGTTCAACAAAATAACAGTTTGCTGTCTCCGTAGAGTGATGTACCCTAAATCCAAACTGTATATGATGAAATGGAAAATGACCAAGATTTAAATGCTCTACTAACTGATTGCAAACGACCTTTTCAATTACTTTAGAAACAACTGGTAGAAAACTAATAGGTCTATAGTTAGTTACACTAGCAGGATCACCAGTCTTAAATATAGGTCCTATTACTGCTGACTTCCAGGCACTTGGAAAATGACATTGTTTTATTGACAAATTAACCAGATGAGTTATAGGTCTCAATCAAAAACATCTTTGGCCCTAGAACTCTTAAGCTGGCTTAACATTTTTATTATATAGGATTCAGATACTTCAGAAATATTAAAAACAGTAAGATCATGATTTGGTAACATAATATCCTTACTTCTCACACTAAAACCTTGTGTTAAATCTTGAACTGAGTCTATAAAAAAAATGATTAAATACACTAGCAATTTGATGCTTATCTTGAATTAAACTTCCATGAACCTGTAATTCAATACCTTTATAATTTTTATTATTTGTCTTTCGTACTCTATTGATATTCTCCCACACTTCTCTACTATTCCCCTTTGCATCATTTATAAGATCAATAAAAAAATGTTGCTTTCGCTTTTCTCAATTCCTTTACAACTTTATTACGTAAGTGCTGAAATGTCCTTCTATCATGAGCTAACCCTGATTTAAGCGCTATTTTTAGAGCTTGGTCCCTCTGTCTCATTAACTTCCATAATTGTTAATTTAGCCAAGGCAAATTCTGCTTCTTTCTAGAAAAAGTGACATTTTTACTAAATTCACCCTTAATCTTATTAATTGTTACCATTAAACATTCATAGGCAGCTTCTGAATTATCTGTAGACAGAATCTCATTCCAATCTAGTTTTTTAAGTTCCTCTTCAAATTTGTTTTTAAGTCTTTATGGTATAATATTTAGCACATTTTCTTTTTCTTGTTGATATAAAAACCTATGTTTTGTTAATTTTCTTACCACTAATATAAGATTATGATCTGATAACCCTGTTAATACATTTATTGACTTAGTTATTCTTTCTGGTTTGTTGCTAAATATTAAATCAATTTGAGTTTCAGATGATGAGGTGATTCTAGTAGGGCCCTGGATTAACTGTACGAGGTCAAAATGACTTGAATCTTATTTCATGGTAACTATATTTACATTTATGCATTTAGCAGATGCTTTTATTTAAAGCAACTTAAAATAAACTACTACATAAACGCTGCTACTACTACTGATAATAATATACAATGCCAAGTTTATTAGAAAGCTAGATTTTTCTTTTTCAGAGAAAAGAAAGAGGAGGACATGTGTGTGTGTGTGTGTGTGTGTGTGTGACTGTGTGTGACTGTGTGACTGTGTGTGTGTGTGTGTGTGTGTGTGTTTTAACACATATCATTGATATACCGCAATAGTTTTGTTAATATTTAGAATTAGGTTATCTTTTTTTAATTTCTGTCTTAATTTTAAAGTTTTAGTAATTTTATTGACATTTTATTAATTTTTTGTGTCGACATAGTTTTTATTATTTCATTTTTTTGTAGTTTTAGTTATTTTTGTACTTCAAATTAAACTAAATGAAAATGAGAAAAGTAAAAAAGAAAAGAAAAGAAAATTAAAAATGAGAAATTAACACTTTTATTCATCAAGGATGCATTAAATTGATCAAAAGTGACAGTGAAGACGTTTATAATGTTCCAAAAGATTTCTATTTCAAATAAGTGCTGTTCTTTTGAACTTTCTGTTCATCTGTGAATCCTGAAAAATAAAATGTATCACAGTTTCCACAAAAATATTGTGCAGCACAACTGTTTTCAACATTGATAATAATCAGAAATGTTTCTCGAGCAGCAAATCAGCATATTAGAATGATTTCTGAAGATCATGTGACACTGAAGACTGGAGTAATGATGCTGAAAATACAGCTGCGCATCACAGAAATACATTACAGTTATTCACATAGAAAACAGCTGTTTTACATTATAATAATATTAGGGATACACAGAAATAAATTCTCGGCCGAAGCCGAATACCGAACACGGTTTTTCAAGTTTTTTCCCCATATATTTTGACAATACAACACAACGTCATACAGCAGAATCTTCATCTTAATCTCGGTAATGTTATCTGACACTTTTCATTGCTAAATAAATTCTAAATATGCTGAATATGCTATTGTTTTACAATGACATTGACACTGACATTGAAAGCTCACTTGCTTTTGCACAACTAACCTCCACACCAATAGGTGTCAGTATATAAGTCCAAGGCCACTGGCCATTGGTTGTTCAGGTAGGTAAATTAGAGCTAGTGAAACTAAATAATTTAAGGATGCACCGAAATGAAAATTCTTGGCCGAAGCCGAAACTGAACAAAATGAAACACTGGGCCAAATGCTGAAGGCCGAATACCGAACACGGTTTTTCAATTTTTTCCCCCATGTATTTTTGACAATTTTTTTTCACCATTGCATAAATTAAATAGCCAAAATGTGCTTTTACCTTTTTGTCTTGTTTTTTAAAGATAAAATCAATTACAAAACAACAATTTAAAAATATTTAACACTAAACATTTTTTTACATTTTAGCAGACATTACACCAACAAAGCACAATTTAACTTAAAATTAATAAGTTAGTAAAATAATATTTTTTGGTGATCAGACCCCTTTCTTGAATCAGGCATGTATTTTTTACTGTAAAATTAAAAGCAGCCTTGCTGAGCAAAAGAACCTTCTTTTAAAACATTAGAAAATATTACAGATCCCAATTTGAACACTATGTGTGAATGTTATAATAAATGTATTAACAGAGCTGTTGTAATTATTATAATAATTATTGTCTTACTTTTTATTTTATTTTACAGAACAACAGTAAAATTACAATACTAACATTTATGAATGTTGGAGTTCTTGCTTTTTCTCATCTATTATTTTAGCGGAAACGCGCAAGAAGACCTCTTCGCTTCTTTTTGTTGACAACAGATTTATAAAATGAGTCTCATTACGAATATGTCGCACGTATCGCATTGTCACATGCCTTGTAAAAATTCATAAACATGTGACTGAGCAACTGACGAGTAACACTGTTTCAGAACAGATTTTCCTCGCGCTTTGGACTTTGAACCCTGGTTAACAAGCAGATAGCACTGACTCAGAATACATGCAATGCATGTGTGTATTAAATAACCTTTGTAACATCAAAAATGATTAATCTATATTTAATGTATACAGTGAAGACTATGCAGTTATTTTACATTTGATTATTACATTTCTGTAGCGTACCTGAAAATTTATTTTAGACTGAGCTGAAAAACCTGAAAAGCACTGTTTATTGAACTTGTGTCTTTGTTTTATTGTATTTATTTTCTGCTATTGCTTGTAATTTGGTTATCTGTAGAAAAGATTTTCAGCACTGAGCCCACAGTAGCAGCCAGAATTGTTTTTCCAATTGTTTATTTTATTATTTAAAAATTAAAAAAAAATGTGTAGGCCTATTTTTTTGTTGTGAATGTTCCAATTGAGGTACAGGATGTGAAAATTTCAGATAAATGTTAATTTTATATATTTTCATTGCATTTGTGAGTTAATAAAAATGTAGATGGTTGTTTAAAATAGGTATATAATATCATAATATCGATATATCAATCGATATACTCCTGTATCGAATCGAATCGTAATCGTATCGTAGAATTTTTGGAGGTATCGGCAAATATCGTATCGCTGGGTATGAGAATCGATATTGTATCGTATCGTGACGAACCATCCGATTTACACCCCTATTATAAAGAGTGCGTGCCCCTCACTTTACACTGGTTGCTATTTGATAGCGCCACGTCATTGTTCGGTACAATTTATTCGGTCTTTTCGCTTATTAATTTCGGTTGCCGAACATTCGGTGCATCCCTAAATAATATTTCACATTTTTTACAGTATTTTTGTTCCAATAAATGCAGCTTTGATGAGCAGAAGAGACTCTTTCAGAAACATTCAACCGACCAGTGTTTGGTGTGCAGACAGAAGCAGTGTTTGTACCTTAGTGAAGGTCAGGCAGTCTTTGTCCTGGTCTTTGTCTTTGACCTCGAAGTCGTAGAGTGCTTTCCCCTGCGGCGGCGTCTGGGACAGCGGTCGAATGCACTGGATGTAACTCGCCGGAAGGAATCCGTGGCTGCCGTTCAGCTCGCCGTGGAACCAGTTCTCATCCACTTTCCGCCGCAGGATGATGATATCGCCTTTGCTGAACTTCAGGTCGCCCGCTTCTTTGCCCTCGTAGCTGTAAAGCGCTTTTCCACACGGCAGCTGTGGAACGTTCTGGAAGACGAAAAGACAAAAACAAGAAACTGAGATCAGAAACAGAAACACGGATCAGACGCTTCAGTGACTCACGCTGAATCCAACAGTCCGGAAATCTTAATTATGACATGATGTGTGAATAAAAATGATGAAAAGGACACATGAGTATTTCTTTTTTTATCCTTTGACAAGCACAAGAAGCTTTTAGCACTAGTGCACGGTAATTATCGTTAACTAAAACCATAAAAAATAAATTCTCATTAATTGAAATGCAATATTATGAACTTAAGGTTATTTTATTTCAGCTTGTTGTTAAGGCAGCATTTCTTATTTTCATTCAGTTTAGTTTATAACTGTTGTTTCAAGTATATAACTAAAACTTAATAAACTAAAACTAAAACAATAAATGCTACATTCACAAGAAACACACAACAAAATGACAAAAACTTTTAAATTAGTGCTGGGCAACGATTAATCACGATTAATCGCTTCCAACATAAAAGTTTTTGTTTACATTATATATGCGTGTGTGTACTGTACTGTGTATATTTATTATGTATATATAAATACACACACATACAGTATATATTTTGAAAATATTTACATGTATATATTTATATTCATATAATTTATATTATAATAATATATTTAATATATAAACATATTATATTTTTCTTAAATATATACATGCATATTTTGGATGCAATTAATCGCGATTAATCGTTGCCCAGCACTAATTAAAATATAAAGAAAAATATTTTAAAAAGATATAAAAATATAAATACACAAAATATGTAAATAAAAACAACTCATTCAAAAAATAAGCAAAAACTATAATATATCAAAAACTAAAACAAACACTATTTTTTTTAGAAATAAAAAAATTGTTAATGACAAAAACACACAACAAAATGACTAAAACTTTAAAATATAAAAATAAATATGAACAAAACTCAAATTGAATTCAGTTGGACACACTTTCCTGTTTATCACAACAAATGGCCAAGCAAAGTGCACGACACTGACAAGGTACGCGATACAGTACGAGACCAAACACGATTTCAGCACGTCTCCACACAGTAAACAAAACAAGCGTTTCCTAGCAACTGCGCTAAACACTGAGACAAGAAATAAATACACTTACAAGCTGCTTTTAACTTCTGCTGATTGACTGCTTATCACAAAGAGTATTTCTTTACACTGTTTTGCTGGCGTTTAATCACACTTTCCTGTTTATCACAACAAATGGCCAAGCAAAGTGATTTTACCACAGTTAATTGGGTTTGAGGCACTGCGCTTCACATCATGCCTAAAAACAGCCCTTGGCCCCTTCCCCTGGTAAAATCACTGTAAAACCCCGCTTTAGGTGGCTTATTGCTTTAATGCAAAAATCTTGATGAATAATGTAGATTGTAAACACACACGAGTCAAACACCAACTGTAAGTACTGAGTTAATGATGGTTTTACATCAATTATGCATGAACACTCATGTTAAAAACATAAACACATATTTTAATTACGGATGTTGACACACTCATTCATCAGGGTTTTAGGTTTTTATAACAGTTCAATAAACAAGAAGTTAATTTCAAATAACTTCCATTTTAGCCACAATATTTCCAGTTACTTTGTCTGTTTGTGCTCTGTCAACCAAACCAAATCAGAGGTTTTGAACGAATCATTTGAATGAAATGATTCAACGGCTCACTCATAAAAACAATCATTTGATACAGTTCAGTGAACGATTCAATGACTCAATCATAAAAACCAATCGCTTTATTCATTTCTGAATAAATTATTCGTTTTAAATTAATCGTTTAAGGTGAATGATTCAATGACTCACTCACAGAAAACAGTCACTTTATTTGTTCTTAAATGAATCAGCATTTTAAACGAATCAGTTCAGTGAATGATTCAATGACTCACTCACAGAAAACAGTCACTTTATTTGTTCTTAAATGAATCAGCATTTTAAACGAATCAGTTCAGTGAATGATTCAATGACTCACTCATAAAAAAGTCACTTGATTTGTTCTTTAATGAAAAAAATGCTTTAAACGAAACAGTTCAGTGAATGATTCAATGACTCACTCATAAAAAACAGTCACTTTATTTGTTCTTAAATGAATCAGCATTTTAAACGAATCAGTTCAGTGAATGATTCAATGACTCACTCATAAAAAACAGTCACTTGATTTGTTCTAATAAAAAAAACGCTTTAAACTAATCAGTTCAGTGAATGATTCAGTGACTCATAAAAAACAGTCACTTGATTTGTTCCTTAATGAAAAAAACGCTTTAAACGAATCAGTTTAGTGAATGATTCAATGACTCACTCATAAAAAACAGTCACTTGATTTGTTCCTTAATGAAAAAAACGCTTTAAACGAATCAGTTCAGTGAATGATTCAGTGACTCACTCATAAAAAACAGTCACTTGATTTGTTCTAATGAAAAAAACGCTTTAAACGAATCAGTTCAGTGAATGATTCAATGACTCACTCATAAAAAAAGTCACTTGATTTGTTCCTTAATGAAAAAAATGCTTTAAACAAATCAGTTTAGTGAATGATTCAATTACTCACTCATAAAAAACAGTCACTTGATTTGTTCTTAAATGAATCAGTATTTTAAACGAATAAGTTCAGCGAATGATTCAATGACTCACTCATAAAAAACAGTCACTTGATTTGTTCCTTAATGAAAAAAATGCTTTAAACAAATCAGTTTAGTGAATGATTCAATGACTCACTCATAAAAAACAGTCACTTGATTTGTTCTTAAATGAAAAAAAAACGCTTTAAACAAATCAGTTCAATAAACGATTCAATGACTCACTCATAAAAAACAGTCACTTGATACATTTCTGAATAAATCACTGGGTTTGAACAAATCGTTTGAATGAACGATTCAATGATTCACTCATACAGTCAGTCACTTGTCAATGTTGTTACTTATAATATTATAATATATTATATCAATTTTATAAATAATTATATGTTTTAAATAATTAATTTAATATTTGAATAATTCATATTTAAATATATCTTTTAGACAGATTAATACAGCTCTTTCTAAATAACTGATATGACTGTAATTTCATTGTTCATGTCTTCATGTTTTACCGTCTGACTGCACCTGTAAAGAACAATTACAGTCCTCTAAACTACTCGTGTTTAATGAATTCACGTATGTAATTATGAGCTCTTGATATGGAAAAATATGAAGCCGTGTGATAATCAGTGTAATATTTATATGAAATATGATTCATGTTCAGTCAGGCGAGTAGCTGTGGAAACAAGTGATTAGACGCGATTATGACTCTGAAGAAACTATATTAAACAGAATTATATTCTGTTCTAGTGATGGTTAGTCCTCTGGTCAGGAAACTAGTTAGTAGTTAGATGAGTGGAGTACACATTAATAATGAGGAATGTTTAATCAAGCACAGAAAATGAAGGCAGAAAGAGATCATCTGTTCAAAATAACAAACGACTCAGTTAAAGAAAAAGTGATTCAAATGTTCAGATCAGAAGAAAAACGCACTGGCATGAGATGATCTTCATACAAAACATGTTTTATCTTCACTTGTACAGTCATTTATTACTCATATATGGGACTAATTAAATAATGAGACGTGGATTGACTGTTTTATTGCATTATGAATAATATTAGTTTAATAAGCACCGGAGCACTCACAGTCATCGCTGTAAACAAAGACACAATTACATCTGAATTAAAGCTCTGAATGAACATCAAGCGACTCTCGACTGAAACACGAGACCACGTTCAGACAGTTTTTAATGAAATCTGACTCTCGGAGGGCTTTTTCTTTCCTCAAGCGGCCCGGAACGCCGCATCCAGACGGGATTAACCACACATGAGCTTCCCAAAGAAATAAAGACAGCTTATTCCATTCAACAGAATCAATTTACAAGCTTATTTGAGCTCCGCAGCATCACTGAAAGCGTTTTAACAGCAACGCGGCTTCATGACCGTGACTTGCTGTGACTTAAAGCGCAGTTAATGCATTATTACATGTCAGAGAAACTCCTCATAATCACCGAGATTCTGTTTATACTGTACGCACTGGACTGACATGGGCTCAGTTCCCATTGAATGCATGAGAATATATCAGCTTCAGACGCTTCGGATAAAACTGAACACAATGCATCTTCAATAAAAGTCAAAAATATATAACTTGACACTCAAATTACTGTCTTTTTTCATTATTAAATAATTATTAAATAATGCATTCATATGCTTCGCATATATAACAGCGAAGGATATTTTCAAGGCAAACTCGGTTCTGAAGATCATGTGACACTGAAGACTGGAGTAATGATGCTGAAAATACAGCTGCGCATCACAGGAATACATTACAGTTTAACACATATTCACATAAAAACAGCTGTTTTACATTATAATAATATTTCAAATTTTTTACAGTATTTTTGATCAAATAAATGCAGCCTTGCTGAGCAGAAGAGACTTCTTTAAAACACATAAAAAAAACTTTTAATTGGTAGTGAATATAATTTTCTGGTTTTAAATGCATGTAATAGATCTTATTGTAAACATATTCATCCGTGCAAATGTTTTATTTTTTGTAGTGTTTAATCAGAATGTCATAACTGGAACTTCCAATCATGTATTACACTTAAACTCCGCCCCTGCAGCTCACGCTCATTTGCATACACTTATGAGAGCCACACCCACAACCTCAACATCCAATCAACAAGTGATGCACCCGCCTACATGTTTTCGTTCCGATAATCAGTTACACTCATAACAATCCAGAAAGAAAGAATTAGTCTCTACAGCTGACAGCTCCACAAAACACACCCGTCATCAGAACACACTCACTACCCATAATGCACGTCTGTCTCTATATGACGTCACATCAGTGTGTCTTAAAAGACCATACACAGATGCATTATGATATCATGTTGCTGTGATGTGATGCACAGCTTATTGTAACTCAAACAAACTAAACTATAACCCAGATATGTTCTGT